AGGATTCCATGATGAAATCCGCTTGGATTTGCGACTAGGCCCCTCTGGCACAGGAGGCTGTCATTTTTCGCCCTTCTCCTTCGCTCACAAACCTAACATGACTCACCCTCTCAAAATTCAATAGTTCGTCTGTTTTGTCTCACCAACCATTCTAGTATGACAACCAAAATTCCTCACTGGTTTTACTTTTTTCTGACGACGGTAAGGGCCATTGGTGAATTCAAGAGCGAAGATGAAATTATGATTGTCCCACCTGACGAAGGACGGACAACCGTATTAATGGGCAAGTCCAGCCGTTCGGAGTCTACTTGGTCCACGTCCACCCCAGTAGAAAATCCAAGCGGATTCCCTCATGGAATCCTACTGGAAAAATCCGCATACATATGCCAAATTTATACCGCATTTTTTCCACTTTGCTACTAAGGATTGCTAATAAATGTTACTAGATGAATGGTCGGAAATCTACTTAAAGTACTTTGGCTATTCCAATGTGGATCGATTCTGTTTCTACTGTATTCAAAGCGTAAACTAGATGAAACTAAAATAACTTTTTCAATTCTAAAACCGCGAAATATTACATTGGTGTCGAATGCAAATCAACTTTAGACTAATTGCATCACACTCATGTTTCTTCAGCGTTTGAGGTTTATTAATTAAGACCCATTTTGTATCATTTTTCGCTTCTAGCAACCGAGCCTCTTTTCTAAGTCGCTACGCGAAGAGCCCAGTGAACTTCTGGCCTGTCTCCGATATCTGGTATCGATGCATTCTCCTCAGATAAAGTAAAGTTTCCGTTATAATGACATGTTATTGTTCAAATTGTACTTCTGTGCGGCTTCAATTGAAACGTTTGCAGATTATTTCTTAATAGGTTTACCTACTTTTTATTCAAAACTTTTGAACTTATATATATTTGCCCAGCTATCACCTTCTTTTAACTGTCTCCAAGAGAAACCTGCCGTTTTACTTTGCTTAATTTCAACTCTTACTAATTCATCGTTTCTTTTGGCATTCGTGCCTAACAGCTTTGTGCACTTCGCCGCCATTTCTGCCTCGGCTGCAATGCTCTTCAGTGTGCCTTTTGTTGAATCAAGTGCGTCCGATGAGCTTTTGCCGATTTTGAAGTAAGTTGGCATTTTCCTCCGAAGGCTTTTTATGTGTCTGTTGTCCTCATGACTCAGTTGTTTACTCTCCGGGCCGCGAGCAAAAGCGGCGTTTTCGAATTTTTGGTTCCTATTTATAAAAACTCCGGCGTCTGCCGCTTGCTGTTCCGAGCTAGCTCTGGTGGTTTCCACAGCATATTTAAACAATCTGCCGCAATCATCCCTCGTTTGACTGTATTTATTGTTCATACTTTAGTCAAACGATGTTTGATACCAAGATAGAGGTATTTTTGGTTGGTAATTGGCGGGGGGCCTCTGGTAAGGGTTATTTAAGTGGCTACTCAAACATGACACGAGAATAGGAACGCCTCTCTCAGATACTAAAGGTTCCCCTGCGCATGGTCCTAATATAAACCCAACCCGTGACACTAAGATTAATCTAACCTCTAACCCTACATTTAACAACAACCCTAAAGTTAATGCTGGCTGGCTGGCTAGTAGCCTTTGCTGGATCAGGAGCCCCGCCGGGTGGGCCTCAATCCCGGCGGCGAGGAGGAGAAGGTGGAGCAGCATGGTCGGACGGGGCCGCTCCGTCATCAAAAACACAGATGGAGAGTATGGGAGATAGATCCACCGTAGGGAGGTTTGGTGTAGCAGACCTTGGCCACCGTGAGGGCGGGTGGGAACGCGGTCGAAGAGGCGTCTGCTGCGGTTCCCTAAAGTTAATGCTAGCCGATCTTACCGTTAACCCAGAGATTTAGCGCAAAAACCTCTGCATTGCGAGCGGTTCCTTTTTTCGTGTCCTCGATAGGGAGCCCACATAAGTCCTCTTTACTGCCCCCTCATCTGAAGTTTGACCTGGCTTCACTAAATTAACTCCGCGAATGTCTTTATCCCGCATGAATAGGCGTCCATAGGCGAAGGATAAACAAGGAATTTTGACCATATTTTTAATGCTTCTACCTGCTTTCCCCTATTTCTCATCTTTCTCGGGATGTTCATCTTACGCCCGCTTATTTTTGCGCTAATTTTCAAGTTCTGCTTCGAAATACAGCGCAATCGCCTGACTTTTGAGTTGTATAGGTTTATTTAAAGTGTCTGCTTTTTTTCTGACCCTGCATTGATGTTGGCCTTTTTTGTGCTCGCAACTGGGCACTCAAAGACCCTTCGGATTGTGAACTTCCTCCATTTCTCATTTCATTTTCATCGGCAGTCACCCACAATACGTCTACCAGTGTATATATGCAAATTTAATTTTATGAGCTCTCTCTCTACTCAAACACCTATTATCTATGATTTTAGTACCTATGCAAAAATCGAAATTCTCGAGAGCCTTCGTGACCTTGCCTGCGCTCTAGTCTTTTCAGCAGATGCAAAGGCTGTAGGTCTACCGGAAGAGCGGACTAACTTGGTAGTCCGACTTCTCTTCGATATCGGTGCCCATTATGCGTCCAATCTGACCGCACCGTCAGATCAGCCCTTCCTCGTCAGCATGAACTGGGGTACTATAGTTCCCTGCACAGTGGAACGCCGACTTCGAAATAACTATCAAGAGGCTCTGTTACGTCATGCCTTGCGGCTTCTCGGGGTGTACGATTCCTCAAAGGCGGTCCCTCCGAAAGTTGCCTTGAACCAGGTCTGCCTATCTACGCTTGCACATTCACTTGATCCATTGAATTTCTTATACGTCTGCAGTCTATTTTGGCGTTAAACTTGCGAGTTCACGAAGCCAACGAATAATGCACGAAACGGGAATTGTGGGATTTCATGTTGATATGTTGGAGATTAACCTAGTGAAAATGCCTTTGTCGTTCGTTCAACCGAAAAAAAGTGTAACTGAAAAGGCTGTAAGCTTAATTTCCCACATAGTATTAATTAACATTCTTCATTTTTGCGTCTGCGATTGCACCGCTATTCGGGAACTTGACTTCTTCGCAGAACAAGTTTTTTTATTGTTAATTTTTAATCTC